GCGCGAAGCACGCTGTCCCGGAAGACAGGAGTCTCACTGTGTTGTTGTGAAGTGAATCTAAGCCTGCGGCCAAGCACCGCAGCTAATGGGTCCCCTGCTGAACGTTGGGAAAATCCTCCGCCCCCCATCATTGTTCAAGAAAAAACCGAATGGGATAACCTTTTCAATTGGTTGAACTCTAAAAAAATATACTGGCCAAAGGTGCAAAACGCCGGTCAGGGCATTCGATTTAGATTCGATTAGATTTGATAGACCACAAATCCTCGCTAAAGAACACCGATTCCTTACAAGAATGATTCGCGAGGCTATTGAAATCAAAAAACGTCCTGATTTCAATAGAGAAGATGGCTGGGTACCATCTGCTTGGGATCACCAACCCATAACCCAACCCAAGCATAAGACTGCAAGACTTCAAGATACTGTAAGTTCATACTGCGTAGATCGGAACAAATATTAATAATTTTTAAACTGGAAGTAGCCGTGGTTAACTATGACATACACCTCAGTCCCCCCAGTGACCATGGGTGCTGTAAAGTGATCGAAACGTCGGGAATATAAAATAAGTTAATATACGCGATAAAATCCGTAAAATGAGTTTTATTTAAATTTAATTATTATACATTTTTAAATAAAACTAATTTTACGGATTTTATCGCGTATATTAACTTTAGAACTTTTCTTTTACTTTACTTTCTTTAACTTTTTAGAAGTTTAACTTTTCTAGATGTTTTAGTCATCCGAAATCCTGATAACACTATTGGTCATACTGTGTACAGAAAAAATACCCATACCAACCGATATTTAAATGGTGAATCTCACCATCATCCTTCACAGTTAGCTACCGTGGGAAAATCTTTGTTTCAGAGAGCACGAGGGATCTGTGACAGAAAACATCTGGCCGCCGAGCTTCAGCACGTCGAGCAAGTACTGCAAGACAACAAGCTTCGGGTCCCGCGCCTACGTCACAGTGACCGAGTGAAGCCAGCCACAGTCGAGCGTGTGCCTGCTGTACTACCCTATGTCAGAGGAGTCACAGACAAGGTTGGCTACATCTTGAAGCGAGCTTCCATTAAAACGTACTTCAAGCCGCTGAAGAAGATTGGTCAATTTTTACCATCCGTCAAGTGTCATATCCCTCTACAAGATGCAGGAGTGTACAAGCTGGATTGTGAATGTGGTCTCTCGTACATAGGACAAACAAAAAGATCTATTAAAACCCGCGTTAAAGAACATATAGCTGACGTGAAGCACCGACGTATCGGGAAGTCTGCAGTTTGTGAACATGTTCAGGATCGTCCCCGTCATTACATTAGATTTGATAGACCACAAATCCTCGCAAAAGAACACCGATTCCTCCCAAGGATGATTCGCGAGGCTATTGAAATTAAAAAACATCCTAATTTCAATAGAGAAGATGGATGGGTGCTGCCATCTGCTTGGGATCCCATAATTAATAAAATCAAATCCAAACCCAAGTATACCACTGCTAGACTTCAAGATACTGTAAGCTCATTCTGCGTAAATCGAACCAAAAATTAATATTAAAAAACTGAAGGTAGCCGGGCTAACTATGACAACAGGACGTCAAACAACTCCGTCCCCCGTGACCACGGGTGCTGGAAAGCACCCGAAACGTCGGGAATATAAAAATAAGTTAAAAATAAGTTAATATACGCGATAAAATCCGTAAAATTAGTTTTATTTAAAAATGTGTAGTGTTCGCGTAAATATAAGAAATCATTATGTAAACCAGTACGGACTGGTAATTGCAAATAAAATTCGCCGATTAGAAGATCTCATGACCAAGCGCGCAAGATATGTAACATCGTTGAATTTTCTGAAAAGGTGCCGCGACCACCAGCTCATTCCTACGTGTGTCAAAATATCTACTAAAAAGGACATTCGAGGAAGCGCTAAGATCTTAAATCAGGCAAGTAAAAAGTTGTTACGAACGGTGATTCAGCAAAAACGGTTCGATTTACAAATCATAAATAATACCATAGACAATTTGTCCAGTGAGTTAAAGACCGTTTTAACGACATTTGATTTTAATAATTGCATTGAAACTTTAAACAAACGCGAAATATCGAAATATAATGAATGCAAAGACAAACAAATAGAAAAATACCAAAAATTAACTATCAAATCAAATGCCAAACATCCATGTCAACGTAGAAACGAAACGCAACAACCGTTGACCACAGACGCAAACAATAAACAACGCACGGTCTATAATTTGTCAAAAGAAACACTGGACGAACCAACAATAAGAGTATTGTCGAAAGGCTTAAATTTTGCTATAACGCCGCAAAAAATCCCGTACGAGGAAATTATCTGTAGTGTTGAGGATTGTCTGTTTAAGAATAATATCGGTAAAGAGGATTTAGAGGCTATACGTCAAGACATTTCGTCCTTGTTACGTCGAAGTTCAGCGCCGAAACTAAATCTTCCGAAAGACGAATTTAAAGCGTTGTACAACTTACGCAACAGACCCGAGCTCACGATTCTCCGCGCGGATAAAGGAAATGCTACGGTAATAATGGACACGTCAGAGTATAATTTCAAAATACAACAACTTTTATCGGACGTAAGTACATACAAAAAGGTCAAAATAGACCCTACAACTAATACACTCAAAACAACCACTGATTTAATAAAGAAATACTCCGAAAAATTAGATCTTGACGTGAATTCGACAATACCATCATGTGCCAAACCACCGAGGTTGTATGGGTTACCGAAAATACACAAACCAAATGCTCCACTACGTCCTATAGTAAGCCAGATCGATTCACCAACTTATAAGTTGGCTCAACACTTGGCAAAAATACTGTCACCACTAAGAGGACATACCAGAGCACACACAAAGGATTCATACCAATTTGTTAGTGAGATTAAAGACCTACATCTCGCTGACAATGAAACTATGGTCAGTTTTGATGTTCAGTCACTATTCACATGCCTACCTATTGAAGACTGCATCTCAATTGTTACTAGAAAGCTAGAAGATAACAACATGCCTACAGAATATGCAGTATTACTCAAACACTGCCTCACATCTGGCTATTTATTGTGGAAAGAAGAGTTCTACATGCAAGTAGACGGAGTGGCAATGGGCTCACCTGTATCTCCCGTAGTCGCCGACATATTCATGGAGGACTTTGAGGAGAAAGCCCTTCTTACTGCTCCTGTAAATCCAAGATTCTACAAGCGGTACGTAGACGATACTTTCACAATTTTACCATCTGACAAAGTAACTGCATTTTTAAACCACCTTAATTCCATAAACCCTAAAATACAATTCACAATGGAGTTAGAGGCAAACAATACTTTAGCTTTTCTAGATGTTTTAGTCATCCGAAATCCTGATAACACTATTGGTCATACTGTGTACAGAAAAAATACCCATACCAACCGATATTTAAATGGTGAATCTCACCATCATCCTTCACAGTTAGCTACCGTGGGAAAATCTTTGTTTCAGAGAGCACGAGGGATCTGTGACAGAAAACATCTGGCCGCCGAGCTTCAGCACGTCGAGCAAGTACTGCAAGACAACAAGCTTCGGGTCCCGCGCCTACGTCACAGTGACCGAGTGAAGCCAGCCACAGTCGAGCGTGTGCCTGCTGTACTACCCTATGTCAGAGGAGTCACAGACAAGGTTGGCTACATCTTGAAGCGAGCTTCCATTAAAACGTACTTCAAGCCGCTGAAGAAGATTGGTCAATTTTTACCATCCGTCAAGTGTCATATCCCTCTACAAGATGCAGGAGTGTACAAGCTGGATTGTGAATGTGGTCTCTCGTACATAGGACAAACAAAAAGATCTATTAAAACCCGCGTTAAAGAACATATAGCTGACGTGAAGCACCGACGTATCGGGAAGTCTGCAGTTTGTGAACATGTTCAGGATCGTCCCCGTCATTACATTAGATTTGATAGACCACAAATCCTCGCAAAAGAACACCGATTCCTCCCAAGGATGATTCGCGAGGCTATTGAAATTAAAAAACATCCTAATTTCAATAGAGAAGATGGATGGGTGCTGCCATCTGCTTGGGATCCCATAATTAATAAAATCAAATCCAAACCCAAGTATACCACTGCTAGACTTCAAGATACTGTAAGCTCATTCTGCGTAAATCGAACCAAAAATTAATATTAAAAAACTGAAGGTAGCCGGGCTAACTATGACAACAGGACGTCAAACAACTCCGTCCCCCGTGACCACGGGTGCTGGAAAGCACCCGAAACGTCGGGAATATAAAAATAAGTTAAAAATAAGTTAATATACGCGATAAAATCCGTAAAATTAGTTTTATTTAAAAATGTGTAGTGTTCGCGTAAATATAAGAAATCATTAATTATTATACTTCAAATTATCTTAATTGCGTGTTGCCAGTGATAACCTATGGAACTGAGACGTGCCGTCCTTCTGGTCACTGCGTATGAGGAAGCTCAATGTCGCTCAGCGAGGTAGGGAGATGGCTATGCTCGAGGTTTCTCTGCGTGATAGACTTAGAAATGAGGATATCCGCAGTAGAACCAGAGTGACCGACATAGCCCAACGGATTAGTAAGCTGAAGTGGTAATTGGCTGGACATATAGCTCGAAGAACCGACAACCGATGGGGAAAAAAGGTTCTCGAGTGGCGGCCTCGTACCGGCGGACGAAGTGAAAGACGTCCCCCCACTACATGCAGTGACGACCTGGTAAGACATGCAAGAAGTCGATGGATGCTGGTGTCTCAGGATCGTGCTTTGTTGCATTCCTTGGGGGAGGCCTATGTTCAGCAGTGGACTTGTGGGGGGGCTGTAACGATGATGATGATGATGACTAACTAGAAATTATTATAGATACAACATGTAACATAAACTCTGTGGTTTCCGTTCAATACTTTATCTGAATCAGTATTCATATGTATGTACCATTAAAAATAATATTTAATAAAAAAATTTTTTGTAAGTTGTAGGTACGTGGTTTTATTGTCCGCTTCACCGATGCTCGTGTCAGTTAGAGGTAATAAAACCACATACGATTTGCAAATTATTATTTTATAGTTAAAATTAAAGTTTTTAGTGTCGAGTTTTCTAAAAAAAAAGAATATTACTTCATGCCACGGCTATGAAGGCTGTAAAAATTAAAATTTGCAATTTAAATCCATTATTGACGAGGAAACAGTAAAGTTGCCTTTGTAACTAAAAAAAATCCTAGTAGAAAAATGTTTTTACACAATAGTTCATTATTTAAATAACCAATATAATTCTTCTGTCCTTGTGTACGTGACTGAACTCCTCCTAAACGACTGGACCGATTTGATGAAATTTTTAGATTTACAATTGTGCCTGGTAGGTGGCGCTGTCGCTATCTCATAATCACCCGTACGAAGCCAGGGCGGATCACTAGTATTTTAAACACCGACACCTAAAAACGACACCATGAAGTTGATACGATGCGCGCGCACACCGACACTTAAAAACGACACCATGAAATTGTTAAATTGCGCGCGCAAACCGACACCTAAAAACGACACCATGAAGTTTTTACGATGCGCGCGCACACCGACACCTAAAAACGACACCATGAAGTTGTTACGATGCGCGCGCACACCGACACCTAAAACGACACCATGAAGTTGTTACGATGCACGCGCACACCGACACTTAAAACGACACCATGAAGTTGTTACGATGCGCGCGCACACCGACACCTGAAACGACACTATGACGTTGTTACGATGCGCGCGCACACTTTTCTTCTTTTTCTTTCTTCTTTTCTTCTTTCTCTTTAAAACCAGCCACCTAACAGCGACAACTTCAGTGGTTGATAATTGTCTCTCAAGTTTTTTTGTTTTGTTACACTAAAGAAGTATACGTGCGTACATAATAAGTACACACACACTCTTTTTTTCTTATTTCTCAGACATGCAGGATGTTTTCCTTCACCGACGAGCACGTGGTAAATCAGTACATAAAATTACTTTTATCAACTTCGTTGGTGCGAAACGGAGAGCAAATCCAACACGCGTTGGGTGAGCGCAGCGGACATTTCCTTGTCCTAAGTCCCTCTCAGAAATTAGAGGAGACCTGTGCCCAGTAGTGAGATATAATACATGGTTGTAACTTTAACATTTTATTTACAGACAGTCCAAGATCCGAGCTTAGGCCGCAGATCGGGCAAATGAAGAACTCCAGGCCGCAGTCCATAACGTGTTCTAATAGGTACGTACACTAGAAATTTAAACGACTAGAATTTAGCCTTTCAATTTAGAACAGCACAGTCGTTAAACGTTCAAATGCGGCGGTGTGAAGCCCAGGTTCGGACCCCACTCGGAAAAAAGATTTCTATATCCTACAAATAATTGTTCCGACTCTGTGTGTGACCATCTAAAATGTATGTTAAATGCGTCCACTATACACCAGAAATTCCTGTTATAAAAGAAACACTTTAAAAAAGAACGTGTATTATAGTAATCTATTTATTTAACACCACCACCACCAATATAGTGTATTTTTTTTAAAGTCGTTACCCTACTAGGATTATCTCCTGTATCTAAGAGACAATTTACAAACATAAATTTCCAAGGAGGCCCAATTCCCCCCCCCCCCCCCCCCATCAACATGGTAGTGGAATTAAATAAAAGACTACCCCAGGAGGGTACCAGCACCCCTGGAGAATCCCCCGCTGAGCATCCACGACCAAACTACTTCACTCCTGAGCGTGGGTGCTCAGGCTGCCCCGCGTATTCTGGGGGGGGGGGGGGGGGGGGACAAAATTCCGCTCGCGACTAATGCTGCTCGGGGTAAGCGGAGCAATACAACCAAGGCGACCCCCGTCACGCTATCCGTGAATTTTTGCAACATCAGGGGACTTCATTACAACCTTAACGCTGTCCATTACCATCTAGAGACGGTGAAGCCGGCCTTGCTCTTTTTAACCGAGACTCACGTGTCCTCTCCAGCTGATACGATGACGATACTTCATATCTCTCCTACCCGGGGTACAAATTGGAATACTCCTTTGTGCCCCGGGCTGAAGTTTGCGTATACGTCAGAGAGGACATCTGTTTTCGACCCCTCGGAAGTCTTGAAGGTACGGACCTGTCCATCCTATGGCTGCGCGTAGACTATAGGTCTCATAGCGGTATGCCGACACAGACCGACTCATCGACCACGTCCAAATGGCTGCAGACTCCGTGCTACAACAGGTCCCATCCGCAGAGATCGTGATACTCGGTGATTTTAACGCTCACCTATGGCTTTGTTCTTGTTTAACCGATCATGCAGGTAGATCTGTCTATGACTTTGCTTTGGCATATGGTCTAACACAACTGGTTACTTCGCCTACGCAGATCCCAGATGTGGAAGACCATGTACCTTCCCTGTTGAACCTTCTGCTGACCTCTCATCCGGACGGATATCAGGTCTCCGCCGATGCCCCTCTGGGCTCTTCGGACCATTGTGTGATCCGGAGTACGGTGCCACTCAAGTTCCGATCGCAGTTGCGATCTGCAGTTGCGATCCGCCATGTTTGGCACTATAGGTCAGCTGATTGGGACGGGATGCGGTCTTTTTTTGCATCCTACCCTTGGGGGCGGGTTTGCTTCTCGCCGCAAGATCCCAGCGTTGTTGCCGTTTCTGTTGCTGATGTGGTACTTCAGGGTTTGGAACTTTTTATTCCATCCTCTGTGGTGCCCATTGGAGGCAGATCCCAGCCATAGTTTGGTCGCTCCTGTAAAATAGCATCACGCTATAAGCAGGAGTGCTACCGGACCTGGGCTGACGCATCAACGTCTCGGGATGTAAACACCAGCGCACTTAAAAAGAAGTAAACTTCCGCCTCCAGGTCCTTCAAAAGCGTCATTGCCAAGGCAAGGTCTGAGCACATCGGTAGAATTGGCGAGAAGCTAGTTCGCCTTCCTTCGGGAACCCGTGCATTCTGGTCTCTCGCCAAGGCTGTCCAAGGGAACTTCTGTCAGTCATCTCTTCCATCTCTGCACAGAGAGGACGACTCACTGGCCCATGCCGCAAAGGAGAAAGCCGATCTGTTGAGCTCTCTCGACTTGCGTCCAACTCGACTCTAGATAACGGGGGGAACACACCACCGAGCATCCCGCGATGTGAGTGCTCCATGCCGGATGTGCGGTTTACACAGCGCTCGGTTCGCAAAGCACTCTTCTCCCTGGACGTCAGCAAGTCGAGTGGGCCCGATGGAGTCCCTCCCATTGTGCTGAAGACGTGTGCTCTGGAGTTGGCACCGGTTTTAACGCGTCTTTTCCGGTACTCCTACTCCCAAGGCGTAGTCCCGAATTCATGGAAGACAGCTTTGGTCCACCCGATCCCTAAAACAGGGACCGCTCAGACCCGTGCTACTACAGGCCTATCGCCATCACCTCCTTGTTCTCCAAAATAATGGAATCCATTATAAACTGCCAGCTCATGAGGTACCTTGAGGATCACCAGCTGATTTGTGACCGCCAGTACGGTTTTCGTCGGGGTCGATCAGCTGGTGATCTTCTAGTCTACCTGACTCATAGATGGGCGGAGGCAGTAGAGTCAAAGGGGGAGGCATTGGCTGTTAGTTTGGACATAGCGAAGGCCTTCGATCGGGTCTGGCACAAAGCGCTTCTTTCGAAGCTTCGTTCCTATGGGCTTCCCGAGAAATTGTGCAAATGGATCACCAGTTTCCTTGCTGATCGGAGCATCAAGGTCGTAGTAGACGGTGCATGCTCTGATTTTAAGCCTATCAACACTGGTGTTCCACAAGGCTGCGTGATATCACTATCATATCACTATCACTGTTTCTCCTGCATATCAATGATATGTTGTTAACTGGTAGCATTCATTGATATGCGGACGACAGCACTGGTGATGCCTTATATACCGGCCGTGCCAATATTTCTCGGGAAAACGTCGCCGAGTACCGGGACAAACTTGTGTCTGAAGTCGAGTCTTTGTTTGACAAAGTCTCGGATTGGGGGCGACTAACTCTAGTCCAGTTCAATGGCCAGAAGACACAAGTTTGCGGGTTTTCCGCTAAAAAGAACCCCTTTGTTGTATCTCCTCAGTTTCAAGGCACTCTCCTTGCTGCCTCAGCTAGTATCGGAATCCTTGGCGTCGACATATCGAATAGTGTGCAGTTTCGTGGTCACTTGGAAGGGAAGGCCAAATTGGCCTCTAAAAAGCTTGGCGTGCTCAGCAGAGTGAGACAGTATTTCATGGCGGCACATCGCTTGCAACTTTACAAAGCGCAAGTTCAGCTCCACATGGAATACTGTTCTCATCTCTGGGCCGGGGCACCCCAGTGCCAGCTCCTTCCACTTGACCGTATCTAGCGCAGAGCGGTTCGAATCGTCGATGACCGAGTTCTTTCTGATCGGCTCGATACACTGGCACTGCGTAGAGATGTTGCATCTCTTTGCGTATTTTATCACATCTATTACGGGGAGTATTCTGAGGAATTGTTCGGACTAATTCCAGCCGCTCAATTTCACCATCGCACATCACGACAAAACTCGCGTTACCATCCATACCATCTGGATGATTGGCGGTCCACCACTGTGTGATTTAAAAGAAGTTTTCTCCCTCGCACAACTTCCTTGTGGAATAATAATAATAATAAATAATTTATTTCGTCAAACATTAAAGTTACATTATATGATAAGTGATCGAGGTCACCTAGTAAGCAAAATAATGCCTGTAACAGGTGACTTCGCTCTTCCATAGCTAAAATTTACAGTTTTAACGAAATAAAGTAACTAATAGGGAATAATAAAGACAGTAAAAACATGATTTTAGTATCCTACCTTTTCATTTGATTTTAGTATCCTACCAAGTCTCGTAGCATTAATACATTAATAAATCAATAATTATTAGGTTGTATTTCATATATGTAGCACTTACACTACATATATTAGATATTTGTAGTATGTGGTGTCGTATGTGAGTTTGTACATGTTGTATGAGTAGTGTGTGAGGATGTATTAAGTATGGGTGTATGTATGTGTATATGTTCATTTAGTATTTGTGTTACGGCCTACGGTTGCTCCCTTAAAGGATCCAATCCCCCGGGGCCCATCAGCAGAAGACTTCCCGAGCAAACGTAGGTCGGGCCTCCTAAGGCCACGTGGAATCTCTCTAATTACACTAAAATATATGGGGGAGCGTTATACTACGGCCAGTCGACCGGAAGGAATTTGGCGGAGTTCACTTACCTCGATCCAAGACGACTGGTCCCTCCGGAGTCGGTCAGGTCGCATGTAGTTGTGTAGTGCAAGGGAAAGAATGGTGATGTGGTGTGTATCTGGGTGTGACTGATGGTGATTAAACCTAGACCTTAGCCGTCGGCAGCAGCCCGAGCGTCGACACCGCTCCAATTTGAGGGGGCCTTTCGAGGTTATCCACAGTCACTTTCTTGGTTCACCACGATGACAGTCACTTAACTCTATCGTACGATTAACTAGCTTACAGAAGCCACTAACTATCGCGGGGTATAAGGTTACCGCACAAACACGCCCGGAGTTTCTAGGTCAAAGGTCACTACCGTTTCGCGTGGCAACAGTTCTAAATACCGAGGCCGCACTAGCTTATATTGTCGAATGCACTTATACAGATTCTGAGTCGGACCCAATAAGTCCCGGGAAAGGCTATCCAAACAGGGAATGCGCGTTATAATTCCTAGACAGGATATTTACTAGACGCCCTAACTATTCCGCGGTTCCCGCACAAAATTAACAGCGTGCAAACATTAGCACATCTGGCAGATGACTGATCCGCTTGCGACCCGCGCGCCACTGTGACGCTCGGAAGAACTTCAGACCGGAATCGCGCCGAGCCGAGTGACATCTGGTGTCGATTCCGACAACAGAGTTTTGCGCGAACAAACCCCCGTCCCGGACATAAGGATTTAGGTCCGCGAGCAAACCGGTCAGCGGGACAAGGTCGAGACTGCAAGTTGCAAGACCGAATCTACAACCAAACTAGGCCACCTTAGGCAATCCATTAGGTCTTGCAACCCTAATCAACGCCTCAGAGATATCCCTAATGTGGCAAGCCGGAGGGTCAGCCTCCACTGGATGCCCCTCCTGGGCATCGCAGCACTTTAATAAGTCCTGTACTGGACAGAAGTCCGACGACCTCTTTCAAACACCATCTGTGCCCCTATGATTAGTTCCGCAATCCGACCGGATCAGCTCTGCAAACAGTGACGCGACACGAAGCGG